TAAATCAAATTCGTGAGTGTTTTTGAGATATCATTTCGATTCATATCACATGATAGATCAACATCTCCAATCTTCGCGGATCAAGTTAGATTTGTTTTTTTATAATATTGTATGTTTATGAGCGAAAGATATTCAGTGTCTCCATGCTAATAGGATGTCTGCGTTATGAACGCTGAAGAAAAATTTTTGGTGCATTTACGACAATTGCACCAAGACTTTCCAAATTTGAAAATAGTCTTAGAACACGCTACCACCAAAGCGGCTGTCGAAACGGTAATTCGATTAAATTTCCCAAGTATAGTTGATTAATCGTTAATCTCCTGTTCATATTTTATAATAGGTAAAAGCCCTCGGCGATAACGTTGGATGCACCATCACCATACACCATCTTCAACTTGTTGTGGATGATTGGGCAGGTCAATGCCATAACTTCTGTAAACCGGTTGCCAAATTCCCTCATGACCGTCAAGCTTTGCGTGATGTTGTTCTTGAAGGTAGATTTATTTAAAAATTTTATGTCATTCATATCTTTAAAGCAGCGAATTCATTAAAATCAACCACTCCAGGCCACCCGCGCTTTTTTCTGGGAACGGATTCGGCGCCACACCCTGCTCATTTAAAAGAATGCGCTCATGCTTGTGCTGGCGTGTTTACGACTCCTTTGGCTCTTCCATATCTTGCCACTTTATTGGATTCATTCGGGGCGATTGACAAACTACGTGGATTTGCTTGTGAGAATGGCAAAAGATTTTATAATGTCAAGGAGAATGAAGAAAAGATTCGCGAAATTACCCTGGTCAAGCAATCATTTTCTGTTCCTGAATGCTATTCATTTGGAGAGGGTCTTCGTCAAGGCAAAGTTATTCCATTTTGGGCAAATAAAGATTTGACTTGGAAGATTGTCGATTGACACTAGCGGGGAAATTAGGATGTTTACGCATTATTTGTTTTCGATCGTGATTTGATATTTAAAATTAGTTGCAGGATTGAACTGGGGACTCGGAACCGTGCATTTTGATATCTTTTACCCGTATTTTTAACAATGCATTTAATTAGACTGAATTGAACCAAATTTTGAATATGTTAAAGAAACAATATAAAATATTACTTTGATTAAAGTTTTTTTCCACTAACATATTTTGTTTAAATACATTTTTGAATCCAATTTATTACTTCACCAAGTGACCAACTCATTTGATATATTATTAGAAATAAATCAATTTTCTAAAACTAGGAAACGGGAAATCATGGGCAAAAAGTTAATTATAGATTAAAAAATTTTTATAATCAATATTATATCTTAGGAAAAGAAGCAAGAAAATAGATGTTAAATATGCAAAAAAGAGTTTGCAATCAAGTCCAAAAAAGAATCTAGGACAAGAGATGTGAAAAAATAATTGAATGGGAACAGTTACAAGGAATTAGTAGAACAGACAAAACTAAATAATTTTCAAGTTTTACAGGCTAGAAAACTATATCCTTCAAGAAAAGAGAACCATTACTAGAAGAAAGAAATCTAAAAGATAATAAAAGCCTTCAAGAAATTTTAACAAAAAGAGTAAAATATAGAATAAAGTAGTTGGGTTTTGAGCTCTGTCAGAACATTGTATAGTGATCTGCAGTAATGACCTATAAGCAATAAAGTTAACAGTTGGAAGAGTTTTTACCTAAATTACAAATGGAGCATAAATCACTTCCGAAGTTGTACTTAAAGTTTTGATAAATTTCAAAATAGTGATAAGTTAGGTAGATATTTAGCTTTAGTGACACATTTTTAATATAAAGTATACAAAATGTTTAATAAAGTACACATACTTAGCCTGATAGAGAGCTTTTAAAAAAAATTGAATCTACATATATAGCTTTGTAGATTATCTTGATTTTCTAAAAACATGATAAACCTATGACTAATGATGGGTTCCTAAAGTATTTAGTATATAAAATTTCATAGATCACTTATATTTCTTTTTGAAAAACAAAATTCATAACTCTTCACTTCAATAGGAACAAAAGTCAAAAAATGCTATAAATCAATGATTTGAATAATAAAAAACAATTATGGATAGTTTTTTATAGTTTTTAATTAAAATTTTTAATGTTTTCTAGTAAGGGACATTTGACTTTTGTCCCTGACTCCCTCTTTAGGAATCCATCTTTATCTATAGCATATGTCTTTAAGCTGATTAACTATATAGTATCAAGTACAGGGTAGTATTTGAGATTATAATATTCAAAAAGTCATTTATTTTAATTATTTTATTCTTTATAATGTCATTTAATTATAGTTTCTCTTATCTTAGTTTATTAATTTATCTTTTTTGGACATAACAATATAGTTAGATAGTTATGTCAATTATATACAAGTATTGAGGTACATAATATCTATTAGAAATAAAAAATGCAAACATGAAATAAGGACCTCAAAGCATTATTTTATATTATAAGTTATAGATTCACAACT